TGCTAACTATTCTTCAGCTGTTCCTGTGTTCTGCTTGTATCCTGTATGCGTCCTCCATTTGCTGACTTGTGTTGCTAGTGACCTGATCTTGGATTCTTGCTATTCTGCCTACCCATTCATGACCTTCCTGCCCTTGACCATGCCTCTGTCTATGCCTCTGTACAGCATTGCCCCACTCTACCTCGCCTAGACCTGTGACTTTGCTTCTGTCTCTGATTTGCTCTGCAATTTCCTGACTGCTGTAGCTGTCACCCATATCAGCTTCAACCATCACATTGTGTTCCTGTCTTCAGTCTGCTGAAAACTCTGACAAGCCTTATGCCCTGAAGCTGTGGTACATGCTGAGTGCTCCTTTAACCTCAGCTGGCTCATCCTGTATGGTACTGCCAGGGGCGGACTGACCATTCGTGCACTCGGGCACTGCCCGAGGGCCCAGGGTCAATATGGGGCCCCATGAGATGTCCCTAGTACCTTTCATAGGCTTTTTTGAGTGTGGGTGAGGACACAGGGGCCCCATGATTCCCTATTACCCCATGAGTTGTCAGTCCGCCCCTGGTTGCTGCTTCTGACCCAGTGTCCTGCCAAACTGTTTTAGCCTGCATCTCCTACTGCAAGTTCTACCAGCAGCACCTATCATCTCTTGTGTTTTTCCTGTCCCTCGTACTATATATTCCACCTTCAGTGGGGCCAGGGTGGCGATACAAGAGAGGTCAACCTTTGTTATCTCAATCTCCTATCTGCTATTCCTCTCACATTTGGTAGAGGCTAGATCATTTAGTAAAATTTTGGAACAGCACACCAGTTTCAAAGCCTAATATCAACTTTATTGATTAACACAAGCATAAATATAGACACAGGATCAATGATTAAGCCCCAGTAGGGGAGAAACTTGTTATAGGGATGATCCTGGGTGGAGTGTCTGTGTTTAACAATAATGTTAATTTTACCTTTTGAAAGTGTTTGGGAGAAATTAACCCCATAAAGTTAACAACTGTGAGCTGGAGTGCAATTGATTTGCAGAAGTGTAAGAAGTGTAAGTGTAAGAAGTAGCTTCATCTTTTGTGAGAGCCTAGATTAGGTTTCCATTCACTGACATATGTGTAAGAAATGTGATCAGATTAAGATAGGAGTAAATGATGGAGAAACAATTTTTAAAAAATTACATAACTGTATATCTTATGTCAAGTATTATTACATGCAGACATGCATTACATGCAGACAGTAAAATTATTTCCTATTAGCATATTACCTGCTATATTGTTTGAGTTACAAAACTGGAGTTCAAACTATTTTTCAGTTTCAATATTTTATTAGGTTTTTACAAGACATACAAATCCAAATGACAGAACCATCAGATATGATGTTACATTTGCATAGAAAGAATTAAATATTTACTGGGAATAACCATCATATGTTAGCTTAGTGGGGATAGATTGTTTTTATAGTAGAGAGACACATATAGTTTTCTTGTGGCCAGTTTTGCTGGTAGTTTTCTGTAGACAAGAAGGTGATTAGTGATTGCTTTGTTGAAAATAAAATTTAAAAAGGGTATCCTTAGGAACCACTGACGATGGAATCCCTGCCACTTAAGCAAAAGGTTGGGGACAGCAGTGCAATCACTGCACAAATTTGGCCCTTGCCCTTTTTGGTCAATTATGTCACTAACCTCCCCCCATTCCCTATATACTGTAGTTGATGAAAGCTTAGGGAAATGTCATTCAGGTATGAGTACTTTTATCTGGCAAGTGTGGGGGCATATTTGATGATGGATTTTTGATAAGTGAAATATTTTGGGATTTTTTTCTAATACAGGACTTGTCATGTTTGCATGTCTTAATTTTGTTAATGAGTAGTGGTACAATGCACCCCATACTCTTTTATGTGTGTGAGGGGGATCTGGGAGCTAAATTATTATGAAAGAGGGCTTAAAGATTCTGATAAGCCCCTGCTCATAGACTCTCACAACCACTATCCAGGGTTGTGGGGATGAGGCACCTCCCCATGTTGAGGGCACATAGCCTGGAATGGTTCAGGAAGTAGGTGCCACACGCTCACCCCCTGCCCCACCACCCATTCCTGGCCAGCCAGACTGTATGCTCAGAGTAAGGGCCTGGATTTTTAGGGGGGCTTCACACTTTTTTTTTTTTGTCTTTTGTGTGGACCCTAAGGGTCTGGTATGGATCCCTGAGATCCATTTTTCTTGTCTTTTTGTGTGAGGTACCCCCTTGAAATCAATACTAGACTCAATGGGTCTGGTATAGATTTTGGGGAGGACTCCATGTGTTTTTTTTCTCATTCTTGCTATATGGAGTGCTACAGAGAACTTTTGTGAAGCTCACCAAACCATGCTTTAACTAAACACAGGGCGGTCTAGCTAATCTCTGCAAATTAAATTAAACAATTGAATTTCATGGCAAAATAATTTTTACCCACTCCCCTCATTCCTAATAGCGACAATCTCAGAATCACTATAAAACAATGGTGTAATTATGGAGAAATACATGTTTATATTTCACAACAGACACAAACACTTCTCAAACAACAGAAACTGTTAGTTGTTAGAAACCTTCCAAATCTCAGCTTTGGCATCTTTGTAGTTATCTTTGAAAACATTTGAAAATAAATAAATTCATTAATACATCAATAAATAAACAAATGCAATTCACATAATGTGCAGCTAGACATTACTTAAATGTTCATAGTCTGGGCAAAGGTACACATTAAAGAATGCAAATTAAAAGTAGTTATCACAATCTGCCACTTATATTTAAGAAAGGTTGAAGTTTTTTTTTCTTTTATGATTTGTCCTTTCCATTTCCATGAGCTTCTTACATGGTTTGTATGTGACAACTATTCTCTGTGTTGTAGATGGTTGCTTCCTAAATTTCTGCATCTGATTTTATCATTGGCTGTTGATTGTCCATATCTTTGTTTTATTAAATTACTTTAAAGGATATATAAGTATTTGTTGTGCTTAGTGGTGTTGAAATATGTCTTATCCATTTATTAATCTCTATAGATAAAGGCATTTGTGTGCATTTAAAATCCAAAGCTGACATTCTTTGGATATGTGGGTTGGTCCATGGTGGTTCCTAATTAATTTGCATTCATATATACACATACTAGGGCCAATTTAGACAGGAGCCACTTAATCTACCAGCATGTCTTTGGAGTGTGGGAAGAAACCCACCCAGGCACAGGGAGAACATGCAAGTAATACACCAGCAAGTTGTTTATAAACTGAATAGTTCATATTTGGTGTGGTTTCTGCAAACATTGAAATGGAAAGGGTTGATTAAAGTTTGTTAGGACTGCTGATATATTTCAATTTCCTAAAATTGCTAAACTCTATCTGTATATCTAAAATTTTAATAAATTGAACATACAAAGAGGTAATGGAGTTAATTTACTAAAACTGGAGAGTGCAAAATCTGCCACAGCTGTGCATGATAGCCAATCAGCTTCTAACTTAAGTTTGTTCAATTAAGCTTTGAAAAAAAATCTGGAAGCTGAATGGTTTCTATGCAGAGATACACAAAAAATTTTGAACTCTCTAGTTTTAGTAAATCAATCCTAATGTGCATTGCTTTGTGTTTTTAATGTAAATGTGAGTTTTTGATACAGTATGAAATCTAATGTGCTTCAAAAGCAAGAATTTTCAGTCTTCTGAATCTGTTAATGCTCTACATAGTATCACTTTGATGTAATTGAAAGCTTGCACTTTCAATCTATTAATTAAATTGGCCATTCAGTTGTATCACTCTAACACAAAACTATATGCTATCAGTGATGTGCAACCTGGTACAGTACTAAAACGCCACACCATTCACAGTAAATGAATACACACTACCGGTGTTTTGGTTAGCTACCTACAACTACAGACATGACATCTAATTTACTCAGACAGGATCTCTATAGCATTTATTATTGTTTTTTACTCACTTCCTCATTAATGCTATTCCCCCTTCTGCTTGTGTTGGATTGCACTGCATAATCATAGTTGCTAATGGCAATATAAAATATTTGTGGGTGATCAATTAAGGACAATAATGTGAAGAAAAACTCTATTTTTTCCAGTAGGTTTGAACAGTTCAAATAGGGATATGTTACACAAATAGATAAATAAATAAATAAATAAAATTAATTGCCATGATTCCCCTTTTAGGAAGATTGCTCCTCCTATTTTGTCTATCATACATAAAATAGACAGAAAGTGAGGAGGGATACAGCCAGCAAGTAAATGTTTACAGTTATTCTAACCCCTCCACAATCTATTCATAGATTTTAAAAAAATAGTATGACATTACTTTTTAACCACTTGCCTACAGGGCACTTATACCCCCTTCCTGCCCAGGCCAATTTTCAGCTTTCAGTGCTGTTGCACTTTGAATAACAATTGCGCGGTCATGCAACACTGTGCCCATATGAAATTTTTATCATTTTTTTGTGACAGATAGAGCTTTATTTTGGTGGTATTTAATCAACTCTGGGTTTTTGTTTTGTCTTAAACAAACCAAAAACCACTGAAAATGTAAAAAAACAAATGTTTTTTCTTAGTTTTTGTTATAAAACTTTGTAAATAAGTGATTTTTCTCCTTCACTGATGTGCGCTAATGAGGCTGCAGTGATGGGCACTGATAGGCTGCACTGATGGACATTGATAGGTGGCACTGATGGGCACTGATGAGAAGGCACTGGTAGGTGGCACTGATGGGCATTGACAGGCATCACTGATGGGCACTGAAAGGCAGCACTGATATATGGCACTGATAGGCGGTACTGATAGGCAGCACTGATAGGCGGCACTGGCTGGCACTGATAGGCAGCACTGACTGGCACTGTTAGGTGGCACTGACTGGCACTGTTAGGCGGCACTGCCTGGCACTGATAGGTGGCATTGACAGGCACTAATAGGCGGCACTGATGTGCACTGATAGGCACCACTGACTGGCACTGATAGGTGGCACTGATTGGCAGCACTGATAGGTGGCACTGGTTGGCATTGGTATGTGGCACTGACTGGCACTGATGGGTGACACTCAAAGGCAGCTCAGATGGGCACTGATATGTGGCATTGATGTGCACTGATAGGCACTGATATGTGTCATTGATGGGCACTGGCACGTGGCACTGATGAGCACTGACAGCTGGCACTGATGGACACTGACAGGTGGCACTGCTGGGGCTACACTGATCATCAGGGCACACTGATCATCAGTGCCCTGATGATCAGTGTACATGTCCCCTCCGCGGAATGCCGACTACCGGCTCTCCTCTCGAGCTGTCAGCGTGACAGCTCGAGAGGAGAGAAATGACGAGAACCGGCATTTCCCTGTTTACCTGTGATCAGCTGTGATTGGACACAGCTGATCACATGACCGAGCCGACATCTTCGCCTCTTTCCGTGGATCGGTGATCTGCTGTGTTCGAGGGACACAGCGGACCGCCGATCGCCGCACTGCACTTTCGGGGAGCCGTGCATGCGCGGTAAAAATGGGAGGACGTCATATGACGTCCTCCCAGAACGAGAGAACCACCTTGCATCCGTCATATTACTATATGGCGGGCAGGAGGTGGTTAATACATCCATCTTTTATTATTTTTGCACCCACTTAATAGCTACTTATTATGCCAGAGCAGCAATCAAGAATCATGAACACATATAGTATATGCACTCATTTAGTAGAGAGATGGATCCCATTTTTATTCATTGGATATCATAAAAGATCTAAAATTGTTTTAAATAATCTGACTGGCTGTGTATTTATTTTCATGCCTGAAAGCAGACAGTGACATAATTTATGCTAATGAATGATTCACTTAATATTTCTTTTTTATTGTTTACAATATAATTCAAAAATAAAAAATTCAAAATAAAAAATATAATTGTTATTAAACAAACAGCATGTTCAGAATGCTTATCAAGAAAGTATGTTTTTTTTATAGATGTAGTCATATTTGAAGGTTGAAACACTCAAGAACTTGGAAGCAGGAAAGACCATCTTGAGATAATAAAACATGGCTCTTTAAGGGACCATAAGCTCCTAAAAGCACTTAATAAAGTAATCTAACCACTGGAACCTGTATGACTGAAAATCATCCATCCTAATTGCTGCAAAGTATAATTACAATCTCCTGATTTGCAGCACTTAACATTATAAAAACCACTTACGTAATTCACTCATCTATATTTTTCATGTATACAGTTATTATCTCATTAGGGCAAAAGAGATACTTGAAATCGAGGAAAGACAAAAAAAAAAAGCTTGTATATCTGCATACTGTTAGCAGTCTGTTTACAAAGCCATGTTTCTGTGAGTGTTAAATCATTCATTCTTAGTATCTTTCTTATCACTTTGAAATAATGAAAATCATATGAAACAAATGAACTCTATGAGTTAAGCATCTAGGGAATCTGATTAAAGAATTCATTCATTTCTACATTATTATTATATACTGAGCTGGAATACAAAGAGATAATGACACATTTTTAGCAGGTGGGTAGTTTTTATTGTGAATAGGTATCATTTAACAGATCTGTGCAGATGAAGTCAAACCAAAGCATATTAGTTGGCAATTTTCCTTAGAGCTTTAATTAAACCTTAGGACAAAAATGCAATGTATTGTAGCTTACCAATCTTTAGATGTGGTGGCTGCATTCTCTTTCTTTTAAAAGCTTTTTAACCTTTATTTAACCTAGGACCTTGCCAGTAACATACTTCCTGTGTTAGAGTGACAACATTTGACCTGGGTAGGGCTGAGAGGACAGAGTGATATTGAACATCAAAACCAAACACATTAAACATCACAAATAATATAATATAACACAAATTATTTTTTGTTGAAGTATTATGGTCACAGATTTTATCAAATAACAATATAATAACAATAACAATAATTTAGACAACAATTCTTCAAAAACATAGAATTCAAATGCCATTAAAGTCAGGTCCTTGACAGTGCCACCCAAAGTCATGTTCCATTGAAAACCTTTATCTGCCACCAGCCATTCACAACCAACTTGGTGGGTGCATACCAATAATTTTATACCATTATTCACCGGTAATAAACCTTAGTAAGTACTTTCTTCATGAACACCGCTTTATCATACATACTTGTGACTGTTAAGGTTAAACCAGCCGCCAAACATTATCAATGATGTTACTTTTTGGCACTATCAAGGCCTTACCGGTGCTGAGACATGCCCCACAAGACCCCCATTCTCTTCCTAAACCTCAAAACTCTAAACTTATTCATGACTAATAATATCCATATTCACACATCTACCAAGAGGGTGGGCGGGTGGGTGGGTGAGCCAACTCTGTCAGGTGCCCTTTTCCCTGTGTGCTTAAGACAGTCCTGCTCATTGTTACAATGGGATAGATTTACTAAAACTAGAGAGTGCAAAATCTGGTGCAGCTCTGTATAAAAACCAATCAGCTTTTATTTTTTTTTTCAAAGATTAATTGAACAAGCTAAAATTAAAAGCAGATTAACTACCATGCACAGCTGCACCAGATTCTTCACTCTGCAGTTTTAGTAAGTCAACCCCTATGTCTTTGGTTGAGCAGCATCAACACCCAAGGACAGAAAGTGTGTTAGAACTACAGAACACCACCCCTTTCTTCATCTCTAAAAATGTCACTGCTTGAAATTCCAGTACAACAAAGGCGCTTTATGCGTTATGTTTTAAATGTACTGTTGAACATACATGGTTTTAAAACTGTACATTTAACTATTAGCCTGTAATTCTTTGGCACCCTAAAAGTAATTTTTAAAAATATTTTCTGCAATGAATACAATGTTTACAAAAGGTAATAAACATTTTAATGTATTTATTAGTCTACCTTGTAATGTATCTTGTTTGTTAAATGAGTCTTGAAGAATGGAAAGTAAATCCCTAAAATGAATCAGTCTTTCTTTTAACCATTTCAATACCGTGCAATTTTACACCTTCCTGCCCAGGCCATTTTTCAGGTTTCAGCGCTCTCACACTTTGAATGACAATTGCGCGGTCATACAACATTGTACCCAAACTAAAATTTTATCATTTTCTTCACACAACTAGAGCTTTCTTTTGGTGGTATTTAATCACCGCTGGGGTTTTTATTTTTCGCCAAATTAACAAAAAAAGACCAAAAATTTTGAAAAAAAAACACATTTTTCTTTGTTTCTGTTATAAAAGTTTACAAATAAATAATTGTTCTTCATAAATTTAGGCCGAGATGTATTCTGCTACATGTCTTTGGTGAAAATAACCCAAATTAGGATGTATTTTTTAGTTTGTAGGAAAGTTATAGAGTTCACAAACTATGGTATAGATCTGAATATTGATCAATCCTGAAGTACTGACAGCCAATCTAATATCTTGAGGTCCAAGAATGTCAGAACAGTACATATATCCCCCAAATGACCCCTTTTTGCAGAGTAGACAGTCCGACGTACTTCATAAGAGGCATGGCGAGTTTTTTGAAGTTGTATTTTTTGTCATAATTTTTCGGAAAATGAAAAAATTAAAAAAATTATTTTCACTATTTTTTTTTTTACATACTGTCACCAGTGCAGTACAGTGTCATCATATAACTGGAATGGCGGTGAACAGTGACACTGACTGGTGACAGTATGAAAAAAAAATATATATATATATTTTTTTTTTTTATTATATTTAATTTTTTATTACATTTTTTTTTATTTTTTTTAAGATTTTTTTTTCATATTTTACTATGACCAAAATAGTACAATGTTACCATAGTAACACTGTACTACTTTGGGGAAGTGATCAGTATTTTTTTTTTTTTTTTTTTTTTACACAATTTGCTTATAGCAAAGAATTACTTTGCTATAAGCAAGCATTTACCTGAATGAAATCATTCATTCAGCTTTTTTTTTTTTTTTTTTTTTTTTTTTTTTGTGCTTAGCTGTGATTTGGTCACAGCTAATCACATGACATGTGCATGTGATTAGCTGTGACCATTCACAGCTAGGCACTAGTATACAATGGATGGCATCATGAATGAAGCCATCCATTGTATACAACTGTCATGTGACCTGCTGTGATTGGTCACAGCAGGTCACATGGTACCGGCAACGGGAGCCGGTACTCGGATCTGTCATCGGCCGTGTCCGAGGTGCACGGGCGGTGACAGATCGCACTGCTGCGTCGCTCTGCAACCGCGCAAACCGCGCATGTGCGGGAGCACGCCAAATGGCGTGCACCCGGAATACAGGAGCACATTTCAAGCCGCCAAACGGCCATTGGCCGGGCGGCTAATGGTTAAATATTCATTAAATATTTTACATTAAAAGTAAAAACGAAAAACCAGCACTAGGAATAAATTGTGATATATATATATATATATATATATAATATATATATAAATCTTACCAACTGGTGCTGCTGCGCAAGTATAAACCACTTTAGATCTAAAATGTATCACAGCACAGCACACAACAGTGTAAACAAATGATAATTATTGTTATTATTATTATACAGTATTTATATAGTGCCAACAGTTTGCTCAGAGCTGTACATTATAATGGGAGACAGTACATGAGACAGTACAATAACAATACAATACAATACAATACACGAGGGGTTTGAGGGCCCTGCTCCTTGAAGCTTACAATCTGGGAGGGAGGGGAGAGTGGTACAGGAGGAAATAGCTGTGGGGGATGGAGTGGTGGGAAGAGCAGAGGAGATCGGCAATTAGGTGAGGGCAGGGTAGGCTTCTCTGAAGAGATGGGTTTTCAGGGTGCGCGTAAAGGTGAGGAGGGTATCTGACAGTCTGATGGATTTGGGTAGTGAGTTCAAGAGGATGGGGGAAGCCCTGGAGAAGTCCTGGAGATGGGCATGGGAGGAGGAGGCCAGGGAACTAGAGAGTAGGAGGTCTTGTGAGGAGCGGAGAGTGCGTTTTGGGTGGTAGATGGATATCAGGTCGGTGATATAGTTTGGGGCAGTATAATATATAGCTATAATAATAGCTAAAATGTCTGTCAATGTCCAAAGAAATTATTTATAGCAGTACAGAGTTCCCACTTGTGCAGTGAATCTTCAACAAAAAAGTGCTCCATGCTGTTTATCACTCATAAAGTCTCTTGATGCTCAAAAATAGTCACAAAGTGCTTGGTGACCAGTGTCCCTCTTTTATTCATACTCACCAGGCAAGATGGACTCTGCTTTTTTGGCATAAGAGTCTAAAGCACTTTTTCTGGTGAGGGATGCCTCCTTCTTTACACTCAGGACTCCTTCCTAGTTTTCAATGGTGGTTCAATGCAGTTAAAGATAAATACCAGTTCTGCTTCCAATAATGTAAACCAAATATATAAATGTATAAAATCCAAACAATCAGCAAGGTGCAGTGGATCCTACATGGTCTGAGAATGCTGCTGGTTCACGTGCATTCCATGGACCGGATGTGATGTCACATGCAAACCGG